CTTATCTCCACCCTCAGATTTATACATAATTTAATTTTCAGCTAAATGGTCCCTTTAATGACAACACATATGTTACTCCAATTACATCAACATCTAGTTAAAGTAACTAACAAAGTGCAACAAAACAAATGTGGAACAACGTTTCCCCAAACATCAGTTGGATCTGTGTAAAAACTTTAAGGCCTGTGATATAGAAAAAGGGCACAAGGAAAAAGCTGCTGGTATACGAGGATGGAAGAAAATGGAGCTAATGCTTTTGAAAATGCTTGCTAAGGTCTATAGAAAAATATCTAAACCTGGGTGTGGGGAGGAAGCATATGTGCCAGGTAGCATGCAGCAGAGCAAGCGTAAGAAATGGAGGACTCTGTATTGTCTGCTGTGTGCAGACTTGCAGTTCTTACTGCCTGTGCTACAGCTGTGGTGTTTCTCACTGCTTCAGTTTGTTCTTTAAATCAAACTCCAACCTGTCCCTATACTACTGTGAACGCTATAGTTAGGGTGATAAATTCATAGCACTGGAAGTGATCACCTATGAAATATGACAGGAACTGAGTTATCAGCTCCTTATGAATGTAACAGGAAGGAAAGACTTACAACAAATAGCAGTCACTCTAGCACCTCATAAAATGTTGTGCATTAGCATCAAAAGAGGATCCCAAGATTTTTGATGCATCACGTGATGAAAATGTCTTGAAGTTGTTAATGACACATTTCTGTATATATTTAAAAAAGTGGTTGTATGTGTTCTTGTCGCTCAGCACTTGAGATCTAAATACACTACTCTCTGTACTTTTGTTCTGCTAAATTTTGTACTTTTTTTCCTACAGGGTTTGCCTGACCACAGGCCTTGGGATTGGGGTCTTCTGAAATGCTTTTTATGCTCCTGAGCTCTACCAATACCTGTGTCTGCCTCCTCCTCGATTGCTGGTGCCTTCCTGGCCTGCTTATTTGTACTGTCAGGAGAAAAAAAAAATTGCAGTAGATCATACAGGTCTTCTAAATGTCACCTTCCTCCTTCACAGCTCTTAATGAGCTTACAAAATGCCTTAGGAGGTCAGACCAAAAGCCCATCTAGCTCACTGTTCTGGCTGATTGGAGATACTATTTAGAGAGAATGTGGTCCATTTCCCTCATACTCTCTCCAGCATCCAGAATTATTGTATTAAGGATGGTAAACAGTGCATGCTTGCCTCTCCTTTAGAGTTTCTTGTGGAACTGTGACCATGAATTTTCTGACTGTATTCTGAACCTGCTGATATTATCTAGCTCCACAACCTCCTGTGGCAGAGAATTTGAAAAAGTAGTAAGGATGCACTTCCTTTTACTTTATTTTAAATCAGCTGCACATTGGTTCTAGTATTGTAGGATTTGGTGAATGTTTTGTATTCAGCTTATCTAACGCATTTATAAACTTGTAAGCCACAATCACAGTCACTCCTCAGTTTTTTCTTTTCCCAGTGAAGAGTTCCAGTCTTCTTAGTGTCCCTTCATAAGGAGGGACTCTATCTTCCTGATCAACTCTCTATACCTTGAACTGCCCTGTGTTTTTGAGATGTGTAGATCAGAACTACATGCAGCACTCACTCAATGGGAGTGCACAGAGATTTTGTGTAGTTGCAAAGTGTTGCCCTCTGTCTTGTTACCCATATCCCTACTGATGACACCAAACATCTTTTCTTTGGCTGCCAGTGCACACTGACAATTCTGTTAAAATCTGTTCAGTTATAACTCTCCTGTCTCTTTCCCGAGTTTTAGCTGAATAAGGCATGATTTATTTTTCTCTAGATGCATTGATGCTCACCTGCCAACCTTTTACCCATTCATCAAGTTTTGTGAAGTTCTTGGGGACTCTTCTCCCCATCAGCACAGCACCATATGAGCTTATCTATAATGCAGGTTGCACTGCATATGCTCTTCTACAGGTCACTGATGAAGATGTATTCACGTGGTCCCAGCACCAGTCTTTGGGAAGGTCCCATTGCTGACTTTTCTGTCATGAGAAGTGATCACTAAGCCGTATCTTTTGCTTGGTATCTTTTAATTGGTTTTCAAGTCATGAAAAGGACATTTCTCCCAATTCCAGATTAGGTTCTTTAATAAAGCCTTGCCAAAGGATTTTTATCAATGTGCTTTTCTGACACTCTTTTAGCCCTCTCCAAGCTTTGTGAGCTTAAATTCTCCTTTATACAAGTCCTACACCTTTCTCAGCTGAATATGTTTACCCTTGCTCTCAGTAAACTTACTCTTTATTACAGACTCGACCATCCTATCAGGATTGGAAATTGTTCATTGGTCTGTAGCTCAGTCTTCCCTCTAGACTCTTCTTTTTATAGATGACAGCTGTGTTAGCAATCTGTCAGCCCTCTGATACAGAGGCAATCTGTAACGATAGGTGAAAGCACCTTGCTCAGCAGTTCTGCAGCCTCCCATCTGATTTCCTTCAGAGCTCTTTGATAAATGCCATTTGGTCCTGAGATCTTACCAGCATCTGGCTTATCTATTCAAAACAATTACACAGAAGGTGCTAGACCATGTGGATCTAGATCTTCTGGCCTAGGTCCTACAGAGAATTTGGCTTCTCTGTCACAGTCTTTATCAGTGGGTGCCCCTTCTTAAACTTTTGTCATCAGCTCTCTCACTAGCTCCCTACCTGGTCCCCTGCTTTTGATATATTTAAAGAATTCTGTGCTACCATGCTACCACCTTGAGCACCATCTTCAGATTATTTTTTTAGACCTGTTGTGTTTACAGTTGACCTGTGATGTGCTCTGAGTTTTCCTGTTCCTCTTGCCAGCATTCAAAACACAGAACTCCCTCTGAGTAACTTTCCTATTGAGCTATGTAAGTATTTTTTTATTTCTTTTTGAGTTGTGGCACATGTTTTACCTGGGCTTCTAATACAGTATTTAACAGTCCCCAGGCTGGTTGTAGGCATCTTGCTATTTGGACTGTTCCTTGTTTTGTTGCTTGTTGTTTGTTTTACTAACTGCCTTTATTTCTACAGTGCTCCAACTTATTAGTTCAGATTTCACTTTGACTGTCCTCTCTTGCAACAGTACTAACCCTACTGTATTGTGGTTGCTGTTATAGAGTAGCTCTCCCATGAATACCTCTTATGCTAGTACCCATGCGCTACTCAAGTTGCTACTTTTGATTTGGTTATTATTTGAACTCTACTAGTTGTTCCAGGAGGCAGTCATGTATCACTGGAATACTTTACACCTCATCACAAGCTGAAATACTTAGTCTCATTAGGATGTGGTCCTGAGATCTCTCACTATTACTACCTGTCTGAAACTTGCAGTTTCTCTAGTCTCACTTCTTGATCGCTATTGTCATCTTGATCAGGGGTCACTAGCACAGTTCTAATTCTTTTTTAGAATTAGATTTTTTTTTTTTTAATTAGGTCAGTACACGCTTCCAACCATGGAGACCTACTGCAATGCTTCTTTTTTTCCTGGAAGACATCCATGCTGTTGCACTCTATGTAATCTTTCACATATGGTGCCACTTTGTCACCCACATGTCCTGCTGCACCATTCTCAAGTCAGTAGCCTCACAAGTGTCCGACTCATTATTTTTTTCCCCACCAGGTCTCTAAATGCCTGTTATACCAGGGCTATTATTCAATACCACACACTCTAATTCCTCCGTCCATTTCTCAAGCTTCTAGCACTGGCATAAAGCTCTTGCAAATTCTGCCCTAGCTTCACCACACTGGCATATGCCAGTCAACTGACATCGTGGGCAGTCTGATTTGCCTTCCCTACACAATGTGATCTGCCTTCCTACCTAACAGCTGATGCACCTCTGAAAAGGCCGCATCCCCCTTCACAGTCCATATCAGTCTGTGAACCAGGTGTTTTGAGCTTGTCGGTTTTTCCCCAGCTTCTAGTTTAAATGCTGCTCTACAACCTTGCCGCATTTCCACACCAGCAGTCTTGCCCTGTTTTTGTGTAAGATACAACCTGTCTTTCCTGCTTTGTCTTAAAACGTTTCCCAGTTCCTAATATACTGGTATTTTCTGGAAAAGGAACAGCTAGAGCATTAAGATGAAATGAGTTTTGTAAGTCTAGTCAATCTTATCCCCATATTTAGAGGCATTCCTGTATCATGAATGAAGAAATTCCAACTTGATTTCATTCCTGGAATGCCAGTGGCAGTGAACTGGTACGTGGAAAAGTACCAGTAGAGAGGAAAAGAAGAAGCAGGACTGAGGTAGAGTATCATATGATTCTTCTCGTTTCCTGAGCCACAGAGAATACACTATGTAGACATATGCAAAGGTTTATGAGCAATTCATATAATATGAGATGTGTGCAGCTACAAAAATGGCTTTTTTAAATGCCGTTACAAATTCCTACATAAGCTTTTCACAAAGCTGGGTGAACACAGAAAACTGGCAACTGCTGTAACTCCTGTTCCAATAGACTCATCTGTATTGCTTTATAAACATCATTCAGGATAATACATTCCTTCTGCTGCTACCTACGAAAAAAAGCATGTTGTGGATTACAAAATACTGTTGTCCCCCATCCTCCCATTTTGCCACCACAGACTCAGCTTAAAAGGATCTGAGTTCTGACTGATCTAAGCCTCCTTGCCTTCAAGATTCCACAAACCATTTTGAATTGCATCCTTTGTCATGAAAGAGATGAACTGGTAATGTATGTACTCTGAATACTGCTGAGCCAGAAAAAGAAGAAATCCAGGATGAAAATACGTAGAATATAATTTTATATTAATGGCTCAACATGTCTGAGGTGATCAGAGCCTAAGTATACACATACTGTTTCAAAGCAAAGTGGTAGCAAGGTGCACGTAGTCATTAAATTATAGTTTCCACCATGGTATTTTTTTTAACAGTAGTTGAAGAACCAATGATACCTTGTTCAGTTCTAAAACACATCTCAAAACCTTATAACAAACTTCAGGTGAAAAATCTTGGCAATACCCTTTGGATTCATGTACTAAAGTTAATGAGGAAGCCTTAAACAGAAGCCCATTATAATGAAATTTATTTAAATTCTTGAGCACACTATATTCATAACTTTTTAGCATTTCCCAGTGAGGTGTTTACTGTATGTTTCTATAAATTATGCATTCATTGCATAAAACTGCATTCATTTCTCTATCAGAATACTATATAAATTCTCACAAAAACAGATGAACCAACGAAAGATTCTTGAATACATGTAACATTGGTGGGCAGATAATATCAGTAACAGCTTCTCTTCATGGTAAGCAGCTCTAAATGAATCCCTCTTGAATTCATTTAATTAAGAAGCTGGAAAGAAAGAAAACATGATTAAATGCTGAAAAATGCATATAAAACATAGCATCACAATTATTTGAAAAGAATAAACAAAGACTTCAAAACATTCATTTGAAAAGTCATGACATTTGTGTAATAATCTCTTAAGTTTTTATATCCAATTTAGTAATTACTAAGCAAGCATGAAAGTTATCAAATAAAACTTGTGACTGAAACTTAAATTTGCCCATTTAAAAAAATTAAAAAGCAAAATGCACTTCAAACATCTGTTCTCTTTAATCAAGTTCTGCATCTGCTCTTACTACTTAAAGTGAGAACTACCTCTCCCAGGATGTTTCAGATTTATTTAGAACATTCTTTTACTGCTGAAGTGGCCCCAGAGTGGGGAGGGTATAGAGGCCGTGGCAGGGCTCTGTAGAGTTGCAGACTCTTAAATTCCTACTATTTTAATAAATGAAGAAGTTTCAGATGACATTGCTGTTTCTTTACCCCTGGAACGAAACTTTGTATTTTTTAAAAAGTAGATATACATTGTGTGCCATACCTTTCTAAGTACTTTACCAAAGAACAGTTATCTCATAAATTGGAAATGGGAACACAGAGAGAAAGGCTTGCACATGACTACAGACTGCGTTAACTGTACAAACACAAAGGCAATGAACTACTGAATGGAGGGTTTTTTTTCACTGCCTCTAGCTTCGCATGGAAGATCTTTCACCTCCTTATAGATATGCAGTATGCTCTAGCATACACATGTTGTAGTAACTTAATCAAGTTTTCCATTCATGGTACAATTAATTAATCATTACAAAACATAAATACAAGTGCCATAAGCTTAAAAGACTATCGGTATAATGATGTTCCCTGCTGCAAAAAGCTGACAAGCTCATTAGGCAAGACATACAAACCAAGGCAAAACAGATGGCAACTGGCTGGGTGCTGGAGGGTGAAGTGATTATTGAAAGGGAAAAGCTAGGAAGAACTGCATGAAGAGGTGAATTGTAGGGTGCCGAGTGGAGAAGTAAGAGAAGGCTGAGCACATGAGACTCAAAAGATAACCCAGGTCTAGGACAGATGTGTAAGGCCATGTATAGGAAAGGATCTGAGAGGAGGAGAGAAAGGAATACTGGAAGTGAAAGAGTTTGGGGGGAAGAGTGGGAAGGGCTGAAGATTACAATAATCAGGCAGGTAGCATTGATAGGCTCAGGAGGGGTAAAAGACTGAATGATATAACTGCACAGAAATTACAAATATGGCAGTGTCATTTTGGATAAATATGCTACTACCATAGCTATTGTTCCTTACTTTCTGTCTACAAGCGAACTGCATCTTTAGCAGCTAAAAGACATGATATAGAATATGGATAAGGTAAACACTGAAACTTTTATGGAAGTTATAAAACAAGCTTAAGAGGCTAGATACACAAAGAAGGAAAAAGCCTAAGGCGGAAAACCACAAAAAGCCAAAACACCATAAAAAATCATAAACTAGAGAGTAGCCAAAAAGAAGGGGGCATGGGGGTGGGGGTGGGCAGGGTTTCTGAAAAATCTAGAATAACAAATTGGACATCATCTGTTGGGGGAGATCTGCAAAAAGAAAAAAGAAACCATGTCCCCTCACACAAAGCAGGGGAAAGCAGAACAGGAAAGGCTGGCCAAACTGTGCCGTTCCAGACATTAACTAGCTGGATATGGGTAGAATAGGTAGGAGTAAATGGTAAACTGTAAGACTTACAGGAACGCCATAAAAGCAAAAAGAGGCATTCTTAATGGTGGTAATCACAGAAGGAAGGTCCTACTCATAGAAGAGCATGTAAACTGTTGGCCACAGGAAGAAGCACACCCTTCTTAAGAGATCTGCTATGGGGCCAGACACCTGGAATTCAGAACTACTATTCTTTAAAGGACTAGAAACCAGCACTGAACGTGGACACTTCACATACAGAGAAATGTGGAGGTCTGTGGATATTCATGAATTCAGTGTGCTGTTGGATGGTTTAGTTGAACAGAGGAGACTGAGCTGTTTTGCCTTCCATTTCAATGGGCAGCTGCTTTGCTGAAGAACACGGTGTCCAGCCACATAAAGAGAAGTAGTATAGAAAATGCCAGATGTAAGATGCCTTGTTTTGACACCTGTGTATTATTGTTTTCCTATCTTTTAAAATAATCCTGATTTCTGCCGTTTTGAAGAAAGTAGCCTATTTTGCTGAGCACTATAGACCTGAATGTGAATCTTGGTGTTTATCAGAAGTACATTTACCAGTTCATAAACTTTAGGTGAATCAATTTAATTATGCATGAAATCAACATGGAACATCTGAACAGTTGTTAGTGCTCACGTTTATTAATAAATTTAATTTTATATGTCTGCAAATACTATTTGTTCTACTTACTAATATTTTACCAGTATATTTCCAAGAAATAACTATTCCATTTTATTCACTTGCATTTAATTTCAATTGCTCAATATCATACAGGATTTCTTTACTGAAACTAATTTAATTACAATGAGGGCAGACATTTCTTATATGGTGTATATAGTGAATGCGAGGAATTTTCAAGCTCTGGGGCATCTTGCAATTTGTCTGTTCTTGTTGCATTGACTGTTTTTCTCTAAGCAATGAATGAATACTTCATGTCTGACTTAATATTTACATTTTTTTGCTTAAAATAAGGCATCTCTTATTTATCATGCTTTCTTGCAGCTTAGTTCATTTTCTCTGCTAGTCAATACAGAGTATGTATTTCCATTCCACCAATACATAGTTTGGAAGGCTGATTATTTTTTATGGTTTAACTAAAAACTCTTCACATTACTCTTTTCAATAATACCCAAATACAAGGGCTATAAAGGATAATCTCATAATGAAGCATTCAACTGCAGGTACCAAAAATTCTTTAAAAAGCTACTTAATGCAAGCTAGTTAATGAAAACTTGTATGGAAACTTTGAATTTTCAGGTGTTCATATCATTTAAATTCAGATTAAAGCAACATCAAATGATAAAATGTAGACTTGAAAGGACAATGGGAAGTGTCAACAATAATGAAACTGTGCTAAAAGTTTCATCCAGAAAACAAAACAGAAAAGACAACACAGGGCAGTTAATAAGTTTCAGCCAAAGCTAAAAAAAAATAATCGATAAACGTTTTTTAACATCAGTAAACAGTGGATAAGACCTTTGTCTGTCTGTCCTCTTGAAGAAACCAGTGTTATAAATAGCTACATTCCTAACATTCCCAGTAAAACAATGCTGTGCTAGTGTACTGATGTCTTCTGTTTTGTTCTTACCATCCTTCCTCATTCTTTTTAATATTCTGTGTGCTTTTTGGACTGAAACTGTCTAAGGTGAGGTTTCCAGAGAGCCCTCCAAGCTCTTTCCTGACTAGCAAAGCTAACTTAGAGTTCATGCTTTTCGCTTATAGTTAAGAATAGTCCCTATGTCATTCCCATACGTATTAGTTGACAGATAAAATTCTGTGTTGATATAATGAAATTTCATTGCTCAATCACTGAGTATCTGATACTTAATATAGCACTTATTCACTTTAAATATTGGGGTGAGAAGGCTTCCAAAAAAGATTCTCTCGGATATATCAACATTCTTGTCTTATCCAGAAAGCATTATAAAGGGGAAAATGTTCAACAGTATAAAATAAAATTATTGCATTATCTTTCAACAATTATTGACAGCAATTAAAATGAAAGTTTTAGCAAAATGAAAAATTTTGTCTAATTTCCACAAAAAAGGTGGATTAGTACAGGCATGAAAAAGCCCTGCCGTGGTAAAAACGGCTCTAGCAGAGAGATTTGTTACATGCAAGCTCATTCATCACAATTGTTTTCCACTCAGTAAGTAACCTTCATGATGACCTCCATTTTGCATCACCTCTGCCATTCCAACGCTTTATTGTATAAGCGTATTTTACCAGCATGTTTATTAAACCATTTTTTCCCCAACCCTAGCCTTCAAGAAGAAAATTCTGTGGAAGGAAGAATCAAAAACTTAATTGGCAAACGTCTGAAGTGGATGAAAAAAATGTAAACAAAATGTTACTCTCCCTTCCTACATACATGCCCTCTAAAAAGCACACTTATAGACCTGTGCTCTTATCTAGCACTGCTCTGGACACTTTTCTGTTTGTCACAGAAATTAACAATGACAATGGCATTATCAGGGTCAAAGAAATAACAGCATTCCCAGTACTTTTATTTATGCACAGTAGAAAACAGTCTTTCTCCAGTTTTTGACTCCTGCTTTATGTTTATCCACCTCTGTTTTGATTTATGTTCACTACATGGAGGTCACTGGAGAGAAAGAGGATGCACAGCAGGTTGTGTTACTGTTTCACTTTCTATTGATGCATGCTGCTTCATAGAGGACTTATTTGGTTGTTCAGTGCCAGAGAACAGAAACAATTTAGTATATTTGACTTTTTTTTTTAAAGTAGGACAGTGAAGTTGATGCTTGAGATCATGCATATAGCATTAAAACAATTTCAGTTTTCTTTAACTATTGCTTTAGGCATGCCAACATAAACATCCTTTCTTTTTTGTGACAGATCATTAGTATGCGTTGTTGTTAGTATTGTTAAAGGCAAAGCTCTACTAGCCTGAGGACAATTTATCACATAAAGACTGATAGTTTCAAGGTGAAATCTACAACCAGTGAAAGTAAAAAGACAGACATATTTCACATCTTAAGATATATCTACACTGGGATCAATTGATGGGACACGGAACTCCTTGGAAGATTCAGACAAAAAGATTAATGTTTGAATGCTGATTAACCTCAGCATATATGACCGAAGTTAAAATGAAGGATATTAAATTAAAGGGGGAAAGAGAAAATAACAGAGTTTATCTACTTAGTCCTCCTTAGTGTTTTGCACGTTCACTTCATTAAAATTCATAAGAACTATGCACATAAACCAAAGAGGCTTCTCTTAAGAAACACTATGGCATTGTCATGAAGATGACATGGTTGAGATCACTGAAGTGTCAAAGAATCAATAGTATGTTTATGTAAAATAATGCAACAGAAAATGAGGTCAGAGCTACCCAAGAGACCAATAGAAACCTGAAAGATTTAACACTGGCAAGGACCAGATAAGTAAATTACACATTTGGGAAACTAGCAAATCAAATTTGATAATAGCAAAGCAAAAGGATCAGTTCTAATGACGGTTTCCAGTAATTCTTCATTGAGTGAGAATTTAAGATTGAATGATTAATTTATTCCCCAGAAAACATGAAGAATCTAGGACAGTCCAAGTAACATTAAGAATTAACATGAAGAATCTAGGACAGTCCAAGTAAGCCTGTAAGATCTTGCTTAATTCTGCAGGACCAGTAGCATTGTAAAAAAGCCAAAGAAAACTGCATAACACATCAGCTATTAAATGTTTCTCATGTACTTATGCATCCACAGGGTTTCGTTCTTTTATGAATTTACTTGATGGGTGTTACTGATTAGTAAGTTGCGATACTGAATCTGCTTGGCTCCTTAAGACAGAATTTTGTTTATGGAGCTAATAATTCCTTCATAGTAACAACATGATGTAGCACTGTCTCATTTTAACAGGATTGTGATGAATCATTCTTTTCAGCACTATCCTAGATTTCTTTTATTTCTTTCTTCACCGGCTTTAACATACTAACAGGTGTACTTCTTTTCCACATGCATTGCATATCAAACTAAATTTCTTGAAACTAAATTTTTAATAGAATTCAGAAGTTCTCTTTCTCTTCCTCTTCCCCCCTCTCCCTCCCCAATTCCTGCTGTCCTTTATTCTTAGCTTGGATACTAACAGAGGAGTACAAAATCTACATAGGGCTCCAACTTCTGATATATACTCCAAAGAAAAGATGTCTGATATTTCACTAAATACAGTTCAACTGTGGGGAAAAAGAATTAAAAAAATAAATCCATCCCACCCAAAATTTACAGCAGATTAGCAAGAAAAGAAGGAAACCCCCTACATTACTTAATTTAAGATTCTTAAAGCTTACAATACCTGATACTACAAGATACGTAGTAGACCTGAGCAATTAGGTCTGCAATAACATCAATGGTGTTGTTTAGGCATGCCAACTCACAGAGCATACTAATGTTCATAAGGTACTGTTCAACCTCAGACATCCTATGTATCATACAGCAGTCAAAAAACCCTAGTGCAAACATTCACAAAAGCCAGGCAAGGTCTGGAAATTGGCACAGTCATATAAGCATGTTGTTAATAGGTGATAAGAACATTCCTAAGATGAAAGAACTAAAAATGAAACTAGTACATCTGTCAGGTTTTCTTTAGTAGCTGCTAAATTGCATGGCAAGGAACACAACAACAACTGCTTTTTCCTTTTAGTAAACTTGTTATGAGAAGATGCAAGTGAGCTCAGACCATTCTTTGGCAGTGCTTCTCAAGTGAGCTTATGGGCTGCAGATCAAGCTCATAATTCCTTCTTCTTTTAATTTTAAGACTTAAGCACTTAATGGGGAGTAAGAATACTTCACACGCAGGAAAACTGGATCCTGTCTTTCACCCCAAGTTGGTCAAGCTAGAAGGTAGTCTCCAGAGAGAATGCTGAAAGGCCGTACAGACTATCCCAGATGGCAAACTACTAACTCCATACTGATGAAATCTTGCAGTATGGTAGTATTGGGCCCTTTACAGACCTCTTTCCTTAGCAGAAATGAGTAAAAAGCAGGAGCACACCTTCTGTGCATATTGCAAGGGGAAGAGTTTCCTTATCTTGAGTATGATGTTATTAAATGCTAAAACTAATCTGAGGTGATCTAAACTAAATGTCAATTAATCTGCATAAACAGACCAAGCTCAGTAAACAAGAAAATAATTCTAAAGTCTTGGAGCAAAAAGTAATAGAAAAATTTTATGTATTAGCTCAAATGTCAGATTTAAGTTGGCTTTGCAAGGCTGAATCCTTACTAGTGGAACATAACACAGAATATAAAGCTGTCTGCTGCACTAATCACAAGACCTAGTCATAGAAATCAACATTAAGTATCTGAGAAAAACTGTGGAAGTATTCCTCATATGACTCTAACAGTGGCTGTAAAAACAATAGAACTGTTAACATTAATAGATACAGTTCTTTTGTTCTCTACTTACTTCAAAATATAACTTTCTGAATCTGTTGTACTAACATTTCCCTTATGTATATATTAGTTGACATTTCATAATGCCTGATCTTTCAGCAAAACGTCACTATATCTACATTGCAACACACGTCATCCACTTACTCTTCCATACATGGTAATAGTCATGTAGACTAATGTTCTGTGAAGGATTAGTCTACTAGTTTATAGAAACCAATTTCACTGGAAATAAGGAAAATATCATCTTTTTAAATGCACTGTGGCCAACTAGTGGGGGGAAAACAGCGTTCATGCATATTATCTCTATTGTAAAGACTAGCATAGCATGTTAAGACTATGTCAATGGTATATATATGTATTTATATACATATGTGTATATATAGATCTCTACAGGGGAAAAAAGTTAAAAAGGAGCAAAGACCGAAGCAATGGGAAGAACAGCATAGTTCCAAATAGGATCAAAAGTCAATGGAACAAAATTGCTAATCCTGGAGAACAGAACAACAGGAAAAGGACTCTTCCTCATTAAAAATATTTGGCCATCCTACAAAACAAAGCTTTGGGAGAGAAAAATCAACAGGTCTCTGTTTTGTTCCACAAACTTGATGACTTGCGAAATGTCACTGTATTGCTTTTACCTCAGTAGCCTGGTCCATAGCACTGAAAATTTGCTTAATTGCACCTTTCCTTTTCCCCTAGCTAGGCTTTTTCATGTACATCTGAAAATGGTACCAGGATCACATGAAAATGCTACGGGCCATCTGTTCCTGAGAGGCTACTAAAAGGTATGTAACAGATCAGCAAGATGTGAATCAGAAGTCTAGACTACCTCTGTACGTGGCCTTCCAGCTGAAAGCATCCACTTACAAAAGGCAAGAACTGTATTTTCTTTACTATTTTTCTACTTTTTCTGCTTATCAGAAAAATTATAACTGTTTAATTGACAGATGTACATATAATTAAGGAAGACTGTAACCCTTTCTTTCCTCTCTGGTGTGGCTGATAAAAGAAGAGGGTACTTTTAGCGATAAATCATAGCTTAGCACTGTACACTGGTTTGGTGTTTTTGTGCCTTACCTTATGTACATCTTAGTTATAAAGATACACAAATAAATATCTAATAAAGATTTATAAACTCAAGCACAGGTTTTCTTTTGCATTTTCTATAGGGCACTGCGTATGCCACACGTCTGTGCTCAAACCCATTTAACTGGTCTGCATTAACAGTCATGTTAACAACATTAGCTTTCCAGCCCTTTTGGTTTGCTTGAATGCTTCATCATGCTTCCTGCTTCCTCCAGCTTCCATAGACTTCAGCGGTAAAAATTAAAGATGTTTACCTGAAAGCTATTCTTAAACTTATACAAAGCTATTAAAATCTAGAAGATGAGAATTTAATGAAGAGATTACCTGTATGGGTAGCCATGGTATTTGGAGCGAAATATTGACAACAGGAAGCTGAAGAAAAAGACCACCAGACCCAGGCCTACCAGACATATTACTGGAAAGAAAATAACTTTGTTTATTAGCACATAAAAGATTTAAAACTGGAATATCTACAAAGAATATTATTTATGTCAATCATTTATGGAGAATTTTGACACAGTTAAATATAAAAACGTTACTGCCTTGACTACTGAAGCCCACTATCTTCTGGCAGGATTTCAAACACATATGGAAATAATATTTATGAAGAAAAAATAACTTGTCAGTGTGAATATATTTTCAAGAAAAAAGAGCAGCAATTTGCAACTTAAATGTATGTGGATGCAAACACCCTACTGCTGATAATGGATTTAATAACCCTGTAAATTATACATATCAAGCAATGTAATTTCAGGTATTTGCTTGTTCTTTTTGGAAAACAAATTACATTTAGAAAAAATATCCCTTGACTAATGGAATTGTGTTCTCTCTAGTTAACCATCTAAGGCTCAAGTAACAGCAAAGGCAGTTTAGTAACTGATTTATCTAGTTCTTAGTGGCTAAAACATTTCACTGTTGTAAGTTCCAAGGCTGGTAGCCAAATCACTTTTTACTCTTAACTTGAAAGCAATATAAATCTTTAGATTTTGAAGATAAATAACAGTGACGTAGACCTTCCGACAGCATCCAGATGCAAGCGTTTTGAGCCCTTTCAGGCAAAGAATGAATTAGCAAAGTAAATGCTTAAATTAACAAATAAAATTTGGAACACCAGTTGGCACCCTGTGTAATAATAGCATAAAACCTTTTTGATCGTGATAGCTTGCTCAATTGCATGTAAATAAAAAAAAAAGGGAACACGTTACAAGCTGATGCATGTAATTGACATGCAGCTCATCTACATTAGATAATGTTTTGGTTCTAGTGAGCTACTTTGATTTTAAAAGCTTCTCTTCTTATACTATTCCTACTTTAACCAAACCTTTGCTATGTAATCACAATATTCATGCTTCAAAAGTGTGCTGGCTTTGAGCGAAGGATGAGCAACCATGAAGCCGGGGAAACTGACAATGACGCATTTTTTCATTAAAAGTGACCATGTGGAAAATGACATACGTCAATTGAAATATAAAATTTCTGCAGTTATTTTGAGAAAACTAGCCAATCTTATAAATACACTTCATTATAAAGAAATCATCACTCACAAATATGATTTCAAAGCATGGATGAATAAATTGCAAAGCATGAACAGTGCAAGGCAGGTACACAGAAAGCATTCACATAATGGCCACAAGCAGAAGAGAGTCTGAATTTGTACTGAAGCCCACTGTTATTTCGCTGTGTCCATGTTCACAGACCCAGATCTCAATCGTGATCTAAGATCATATTCCAATTAAACTCATCACTGTCTCTTTTGACATCAGTATTAAAGCTAGATACTGTAAAAGATATTCAGAATTAAATTATACATCTACAGCTAATTGAAGGAGACCCTCAAATCACTATAGATTAGAGATCTCTAGCCAACGTTCAACCAGCTGTTATGAAGAATTATAGAATGCTTTTATAGAAAATAGTTGGCCAGCCCTATCTGCAATACTGCGTATTACACAGAAGAAGCTAAAGAACTGATCTAGAAAGACAGGGGAAGTAGCGTAGGAAGTCTGATATCTTTCAAAGGTCTTCAAAGCCTTATATGAGAAAAAGAGTAAGTGGCAGGGGATATGAAAAAACATATTATAAAAGGTGCAAAGGCAGATGGGCATATTTGTTTCAACCTATGTCATACTCAGTAAAAGTTTGTTTGACATAACAGTTAGGAAGTTTAAATCTGGATAAAATACTTTCATGTTGTGTGCTTATGCAATTCATTGCCAAAAAATCTTGCAATTATTCTGAATGACAACAACATTCAGAAAAACATAAAACTTGCACTTCAGGCTAAGAATCTTTACAAATTCCAGATTAGGATAAGTTCTGTACTACAACTACTGTTGGGCTTTCACCTTCCTCTGGAGACATGATACTGGCAAAGCGTACCAAATAAAAGCATTTTCACACTCCTTTGGATGTTGTCATCTTAAGCATCTTAAATGCCTAAATTCATTTTGAAAACAATGTTTTGAAACTCTTGTTCTTTATGTCGCTGACTTTCAATATAATTCAAGAGCCAAAAAGCATTTATCTCCACTACTCTACGCAGTGGAGATACTGTGTCAAGCTGTACCTTGGCTGAGTATGCTTAAAACAGTTTTTTACTGTTACAACTTCGTGTGAATGCAGTTTTACCAACAGAATTTTTATACTCTACTCTTCTCCACCCCACAAAGGTAAAAATTGGTTTAAGGTAGAGACCTTCTGAAAACTTAATCTGATATTTATTTGTAATTTCTACAATGTCTTCTAATTGTCTAAACATTGTCTCAGTTGTACTAAATAACTTACTTCTCCTTTTTCCAACATCCCCTTTGGATGTAGCAGCTTCATTCAGGAGTACCATTCCCATGGTAATAGCAGCATCTGTATCGCCATTGTTAAGGAAAACAGCAGATGTGTGGATACCTCAGAAAGCCACAAAGGTACATCTACGAACTAAAGCTTTCAAGTTCATAAAATGAAAGAAAGTATTTATATATAAAACTGCATATCGCAATCTGTACTGTACCAATACACTCACCTGTGGCAAAAATGTGTAGTAAGATTTTCCTTTGTGCATTCTAGATAAAAGAGGAAAGAAGGTTCAAAAAACTTTAAAGGACAAGTTGTCAAGTAGGACACACAAATTTTGGACAGTTAAAGAAATAGCTATTCCCCAATATCTTACAATATTCTGTATATTGGTAGTAAAGGATTTTAAAAAATTAAAACTGTAAGAACCAAAAATCATTCAGTGTTATTGCACACAACTCATTGGTTATTTGATGCAAACTGAAGCAGTTGGACTGCTTTATCTTCCTCTGCTTTTAGATAAGACATTAACTCCCTCTTTAGTGTCATATTGCTTAATAGTTTAGCAGACAAACATCTCAGAGGCAAAGTCCTCAGTCACTTTCAGTGTTTTATCGTCTCATCATAACTGTTACAAATGTGAACAAGTACATAATGATAAAACAATTTAACTAATTTAGCAAGATCTTAAACCATTCACTTAATTGTTTATTTGAAACTGTGTACACAAAAAGGAATGGTTACTACTGTGCATAACATCTGTTCTGAAAAGGACGCATGCCTGAATGCCACACTGAAGCGGGAGTGCATCATGGGAGCTATATCTCACAATTTCAGGAAATAAGAACTTCACCAGAGTGAACTGATTCATGAATAAAGTTGGATTTTTAAGCATTACTTACCCCAGGGCTAGGTAGCAGGATGACTACGAACATTAAGAATGAGAAAATGTTTCTATTTACGCACACAGACAATTCATGGGAGATACTTCAAACATGCTACATATCATAAACAGTATCTGCATCCTGTAACATTATACTTGCCCTAATCCTATCAATCTTCATATTAACATTTTTCATGATAGAAATGTTCAAAATTAGACCAAAATGCTCAAAGACATTTGAAATTTCAGTTATACAATTTCAATTAAGCTGAGCCTGAGCAAAAGGATTTAGAAATGTCAATGCTAACATCGTCACACTTCATCAGAGATTAGCAGCCTGATTCAGATTTGAGACGCCCAAATTTCATATACATAGAATGAGAAAAGTCAAATGAAGAGTAACAGGATTAAAAAAAGCAAACACCAATGGTGAAAGGAGGCAGATGCCAATAGGCAACATTAAGGAAATGTAAGTTTTAACACCACCTCTTTGATATAGACATCTACCTACAGTCCTAAATTAGACAGTAATTAAAAACACATTAGTAGCCCAAATTACTTTCTCACACATGCACAAAGTATAAGGCATAGGGTCATATGAATAAATGGTTATATTCAAGTTTTCCAGAAGCTTATTACTGGACTTGACAAAATATTAAAAAAAAATTTGCAAAATATTGTGAAAAAAACCAACCCTGGAATCCACAAGACTACACAAATTGGAAGGGAAGGCAAAAATTACTTTCTAAATATTTTGCCTGTTAAGATTCAGATTCATGAGCATAAGAGATTGGAAATCTCCTGCTCTACCACTATGCTTCAAGTAGGAAAAAGAACTGGAAAGAACGTCCTGAGAATCATTTGGTTCTCTGCTTTCAAAAGTTACAAAAGCATAAAAATGAATTGAGGAAGCTGCAACAAGAAGGGCTGAGAAAAAAAAAATCCACATCTATTTCTACCCTATTAAGAAAAGCCCCTAATATAGCATTATCTAATAACTTTATTTTACCAATCCCTCACTTAGATTTATAGTCGAGTTTTTGTTCTTAGTTTAACTGAGTCATGGGAAGAAAACAGCCCCAAGATGTGAGGGTAACTCACCAGACCCTCTCAGGGAAGCGCTACTTTTTGCAAAGGTTTTGGACTGCTTTGCAAATGGAATTTATTTGCTTGATTATCTCACGTAATATTGCACATAATGTGGTCCTTTGCTATTTCCCTTACCTAGTTGCTTCTGAGAAACAAACAAACCAACCAACCACACACTAAAAAGCTGTTTGGCAGACAACCATTCTGTAACTGAGTTCCTATTTTCTTACCAGACCATGAGTTTAATTCACTTTTCTTACCATCAGGAATAACAGCCTCACAAAAGTAACTGTTTGCTCTGCAACTGAGAATTTTAGATCTGTAACCAGCTGAACTGTGCTGGTTTTTTTCCTCTCTTTTGGAGTCTCACGTCATTATCCCTAAAGCTTCCCTCACATTGTCACTATTTTTGCTTCAGTTGTTGCTTTCTAACTTTAATCATCATTGCTGAGCTTTCAGCCTCACTGGTTGCCTTTTAGCTTCAACGATATCAGCCTCATAACTTCACACTCTAACACTGAGCATGTCACTTGCCTCAGCTCTGTGATGTTGAAGTAAAAATTCAGTCTTACTGAGTTGTGATTTCAATGCAATAATTAGCTTTTTACCACAGAATATATAGCTTAAGTTACTATTTTTCGCTCCAGTTTCTAACATTGTATGTTACATCTTCACATTATTTTGATATTCTACAAAAGAAAGCAACAGTCCTAGCTCTGAAAACAATCTTTTACAGTATCATATTTCTCTAGCAGTGCAGAATGTAAAATTTTAGCAAGTGGTTACTTGGACAGTTTTCCATCTGCAAAAAATGAGATAGCATTAAAAGATGTACTTATTTTCTAATTCCTCTTTATGTCCCTCACTATGCATTACAAAACTATGCTGAATAGATGAGGGGAATGTGGCACTCAGATAAATCATGGCTAGTAAATGTTTTAAATTCAGATGCTCATGTTTTCTGATAATTGTATCCCTCTGTAGCATTTTTTTTTTCTGTGTAAATCCAATTATATGTCTTCTCAAATTTGGAATGATTTCACTTTTACATATTAAACTTCTGCTGCTCCTTTTCCCAGCTGGTACATGTTTTTCATAGAAATTGACAACATACATTATTTAGTTAGTTGTCGTGGTTTAATCTCAGTCGGCAACTGAGCACCATGCAGCCACTCGCTCACTCCCCCCCCGGTGGGATGGGGGAGAGAATCAGAAGGGTAAAAGTGAGAAAAACTCGTGGGTTGAGATAAAGACAG